AAACTTTCGGTCAAACTTTAAACAAAGTCATTTTTTTCCTAAAAACTCTTCTCTCCCTAAAAAAGGCAGAAAGCGAAACTTCAAAAACCTGATCTCCGATTCGACTTCCTCGAGCCCGACAGCATCGGATCAAACTTTATAAGGAAAACTATTTTCTCGAAAAACGTTTTTTTCACTAAAAAAGTTGAGGATCATAAACTCTAAAAATCTCACGCCAGATTACAGTTCCCCGACCCCGATTACCTTCGGTCAACCCTTATAAAAAAACTAATATTTTCCTAAAAAAAAGCAATACAAAATTTCAAAAAACTAACAACGCCATCGTGTTCCCCGACCCAGTTACCTTCGGTCAAACCTATCTCTGCAGGATATTGTTTGAGGTTAGTTAAGTTTATGCATCTGCTTTCCTATTGGACGAGCGAACGAACGCATTAACTCGTTTTTCGTAATGCACTCCTTTCAGTAGAGGGATCTAACTGAAAAATGTTAATTTTTTTCAGGATTTATGCGATATTTCGTATTTATGAAACTGGGGATTAAAGTAGAAGTAATTACATTTTAGAAGATAACAAAGTGACATCTTGTCTGAATCTATCTTATCTCACTGTGATAAATTCTCTTTCAATTTTTCAATCTTCATTCCAGTTCCAAAAAGATTTGCAAGTTTTGAAATTGCAAGACTATCCTTTAAAATTCTATTTAGTTCTATTTAATAGATTAAAATAATAATTTACTTAACATTATTATTCAATTTATGTACATGATATAAAAACTTTTATGAAATACCTAATGAAAATCAGTGCATAGGTTCTTGTAAAAAATGACATCTGGAATGAAATTTTCTACTAGAATTTTCAAAACAAAAACGAAAAGATGAATTTTTATGTATAAACGTATGTATTGATACTTTCAGTGAGAACTTGACTCTTTTTTCTTCATTAAATATCATTTCATGTAATTACATGTGCTGGTTTACTCATAATACAATTTAAACAATGATACAAATGTGTCTCAATCAGAGACGTGGGCAGGGCAGGGCAGGGCGGTCCTGTCCTATCCTGTTGGATAGGATGAGATTTAGATTTTGTCCTCCCCTACCGTCTGCCAGTACCAAGGTAGCCAACAGGACAGACATGGACAAGAGAAAAAAATATGTCCGCTGCACGTCTCTGATCTCCGTACAGTTTCAGTGAAAATTTTCTATCGAATTATGTGTCTCATATGTTTGTTTGATATTTTGCTTACATTTGATACGAAGTAAAAAAAAAACTTATGCCGAGATAAATTTCGATATTAAGCATTTTTGCTTTTGTTTCGCTTGTTGTACAGATGTTCCTATCTCTTCTGTTTTCTACAAGAACCAAAAATGCATACGCTAGACAGTAGGTTTTTGCATAATGACAAGGATTTTAATCTTACCTTAGTTACGCCAGATACTATTTTGAATGCTGATGAACATGCACATATCAATATCAATAATAAACAATTAAAACTTTCAATATCAACAATAGTTAATGTTTTTAGTAAAAGTGATAAAATGAAGAAAAAACTTGGTACTTTGAGAGAGAAGGATAGAGAAAATAAATAATAGAAAGCATCTAGCTCAATATAACAATATTTAACCATTTATAAATATTACAATTATCAATCACTTTGAACTATACTGTATCAGTATTGTCCTTAGTTACTATGTATCAAGACAAGTGTGTGTATGATCACACTAACAGGTAACTCTTCTTTATACGTATTAGTTTTACAAGTAAACGTCAAGTAGAAAAATGCTAAACTCGATTATTTAGTTCATCGAGTTATTAGTTTTTATTCTAGTCTTATTTTCGATGAACAAATTCAACTCTAATAATGTGAAAACAAAATCTTAATTAAGTAACCATCATCATCGATAAGATCTATGTTCAATTAGTCATTCAATATCCATTGTCTTAATTTTAATGATGCATTAAAAATATTGTGATAATATTTCACCATATTTAGCCAATAAAAACATAATTGCAATACCCAAAACAACGCCGATATTTTGAGAAAGTAGAATTTCAAGTCTCAATTTTCTTGTGATTGGTTTATTGGCAGTTGTATAATCTTTTTCAATTTCATGACCTATGGAAATCAGTTCTGGAATCTATTTGAAAAGCAAGGAAACAATGTAAAAGAATATGAGTGCAACAAATATCAAATGTACCATGTCAGTGAGGCCAATATAAACAAACATGCCACCAGCTAATCCACAAATCCATGGATGAAAATTCTCAAGTTCACCTAAATACAAGAAATTGTTTCTTTTTTTTAAAGTGTCAAATTATCTCTCTATTACCTAATTTCGCTCCAAGTATAAAACCTGGATAACAACCACAGGAAGATAAAAAATTCATTAACAGAGCTTGCTTTATTGGAAGACCACTACTTAATAGAATAGCAGCGTCGCCTATAAAATTGAAGTAAAGATAATATCGGTTCTCATTCAATTTGCTTTCTCTTACCGAGTTTATGAGAAAATTCTTCACAAACAATGGGTACCATCATACGAAGACATTCGCTAATTGATACAATAGAAATAGCACCGATAGTAATACCATCGATAAAACCATGAAGTAAATCACTGATCAGAATCATCCATCCAATTGGTTTCATTGTTTTCAAATTTGCTAATAAACTTTTTGTATTTTTCTGTTGAAGAATTGGCTATAAAACAAAACTGTTCTCATTGCATTTCAATTATAGCTTTTTCAGTTTTTCTTTTGCAAATATATGATCCAAATATTATTTTCAATCAAAATTTTATCGCAGAAATAAAATCAATACTGCGCAAGTTTAATGAAGGATCACAATATGTGATGATTTTTTAACCTTTATTTATAGCTAATAAAAGTTCAAATTTATTGCAAAAAATTCGATGAATATAATAAATTCAATATGAACTAGAATTGTTTGAGAAAATAAGCGTAATCGATGACATACATGCAAGAGAATTTTTTTTATTATTATCGGTAAATACAGTTTTCAATGAGTTTTCAACAACTTTTTTTAAAAATTATTGATCAATATCGCCAAAACATGAAATTAACTGTTCGATAGTTATAATAAAACATTAACTCATAACAGAGTAAGAAATTATACTCGTTAGCAATATCGTCTAATTTTTTTCTCTTAACTTACCGATATATCTTCATCGCCGTGGCTATGCGTAGACACAACCTAGAATACATATTTAAGAAATCTTGTTAGTAGTATATCCTCTTTATTTATAGAATGTGAAATACATGTGTCTTTTTCGCCTGTATCATCCAAATAAAAACTATGATCCAGGCAAATCTCGATGTGATATTATCTATGTCGATAACCTTAGAGACACTACTATTAATAATTGTTGAAAGCAATAACTTGAGCAAATCATAATTTTAGTATTTGATACTACGTTAACGTGGCAAATTATATGAAAACTGAGTCTTACTTAAGATATCTCTCATATAATCATTCATCTTCGTCAAAGGCAGAAGTTCTGCGATTTTGGAAATGCATGAGCAATCTAAGTTCAATTTCAATACCATCTAGTGGCGTTATTTTTTCTTTACGAAGGAAATACAGAAAAATGATATTGTGCGTGTTGAGAATGTTGAGAATGAGTGGGAAAAGATAGGAAGAAATCGTAAAACTTTGATTTCTAAGTCTTGTAATCATTATTTTCAACGAAAAAAGATCTGAATTTCACAAAAATAAAAACATAAATAAGGAAATCACATATAATTGGCACATATACAGACCGTTTCAATTCGAAGAAATGTGTCACATAGCAGATCACGGATATAAAATAAATAGATAGCAATTATTGTAACAAGAGCTTTGGTAAGAAATGTTGAATCTTTATCAAATTTTTCAATACTGAATGCCTTTATAAATGAAACTATATTTAGTTGAATTGAAAACAAATGGCAATAGTTACCATTGGAATAAGATGAAATATACCAGTACCAAGAAGTGTACCAACAGCTATACACAAAAGAATATAACAATATTTCAAAGAATTTTCATGTACTTATGGATTACCTAACCCAATGAAAGTAGTAAGAAGCCATTTAAACGTAGGCCTTTTTCGAAATGGCAAAATAATTGCACTGAATAGTGCAGCCATATTGATAGTTGTTACAGAGATCAGACCAACCAATACATCTTCAATTAGATGACTACCTTATGTAAAATAAAAAATACATTCTATTATATACTTTTCCACTTTGTAGCACCATGTTGTTTCAAACACCCATCATTATGCTTAACATCAACTAGAGTTGGAATTAATTGTTTAACATCTGCACGCGTTAGAATTTGATTTTTATCTTTTAACGAAATATTGAATGCATCAAGTAAACTATCTGTTGATTGAAAACACTAATTTATATATACATATATATATATATATAGAAATATATTCAATAAAATTAAACATAGGTTCAATATCTTTGACATAAATATTCACCTTATTTTCGACAGTTCCTTGCTGAATATCTTCATCGGTAATATTTTGACGAATATATATTAGATCATCAACACCATTGGACTGAATTAATTTATTATAAAATAATTTTAGATTATTTGGATCTTTTAAATATGAATGAAGAATATTTTCTTCTAAATCACCTAATTCGACGGTTAATGTCAAAACAGAAACTGTTTGAATATAAACGAGGAAAGCAATAAGGATTATGTTTATTTTTATCATCTATAAAAATTGAAAACAACGGTTGCAGGAACAAAACTTAACACAATTAAAATATCGAATAACTATTCTTAGAAAGCAACAAGGTAGTGGAAAAAAAACTTGTCTCTTGTTTAGTTGAATATTTTGAAACTCAGTGCTTTAAAGAATTTTTCTTTTTTTATTATGCAATAAAAATACAATAGATAGATCAGAAAATGAATTCTAATTCAAAAATTTTACATGTCATTATTTAAAAACTCAATTTGATGTTGCTATTTTTATAGGTAATTCTAGTGAGATGTTGTCGTTCATATGATTCGACGCATAACTAAGGAACTTAAAAACTTGATTCACTTACTAACCTCAATGAAATTTGTTCAACCAAAATGATAATTTGAAAAGAAATGTACGAGAATTTTCTCCAAACTGTTTAGCTTATTTTTACTGCTATTAGTTAAATATAGAATCCTATAAATTTTCCATGGCACAAAATATTTGCAAAAGAATAGAAAATAAAAAGAATGTTCTGAGATGCTATATTTTCAAATTCTAAAGAACGAGATTACGCTAGAACTAAAATGAAACTCTCTAAACCATGGCGTGCTTATTATTTCCTATCGTCTAGTTCTGATCGAAATTCCAGCTAGATTGTCTTAATCCTTGCAGAAAAGTATACTTAATCAAACAATACGAAAAAATTGTAGATAAAAGTTTGAAATTCGTTATAATATTGATGTCGAATTTCTAAAAAATACTTTATGCAGCTATGTTGCGAAGGATAGTTGCACATGAAATGAAAAGCTAATTGCGATGCCAGTGAATATGAAAAATTTTAACATCTGATACTAAATTCGTTACATAATCATAATAAGATTTTTACTTCATAGAGACGTAAATCGCATGTTTATGTAAAAGTCAATAAATGCTGTATTGCAGTGTAATATTGATATTGAAGGTAAAAAAAAAGGAAAGAACCAACAGAGTCTAGTACGTACTTATCCGAAGGAAGGAATGAATGTGCATTTATATCGGTATAGTGTTTAATGATGAGTGAATAGATAGATACTATGCGAGACGCAAGCGCACCTATCATACAAAAATGTATAACTATGTACATATTCTCTTCTTTCATGGGATATCATGCGTGAAAATCGAAGAAGACCAACCGTTGTTTTTATATAAAGTCAATATACGTATGAGCACGGGTCTTTTACAACGCTAGATGAAATTTCAAAAAGTACATTACCCAAAAATGAATCGAAAATATTTTCAAGCAGATACCTGTTACGCCAAGAGTAATGTGCTGCACTATAAAAAAAACGTTGATGTACTCATATTCCTATCGAGATATTATTATTATTTCTAGTAAATTAGTAATGCAGAGATAACCCTTCTCTGTTTCTATTTGAAAGTCTTTGCTGTTAGCACGCGCACAAATTAAGATTGGTTGATAAGAATGATTGTATGCTTTCTATCATGTTGTTTACAAGATGCAAATAAAAAATCAACGATGAGAACTGAGCATCGTTGTACAATTTTCTTAGCAATATCATGCTCATTATACATTACTCTTAAAATCAAAATCTTAAGTCAGCATATTGTCATTCATTTAATTTATTTGAATTATCGATTGTAAAATGAACTAATTGAAGTAATTAGCAGAACTTTTTTTTATAATAAATGCAGTGATAGTGCATGAGTGAAATGTGTTTACAGTAAAATTTCATTAAAAAATTTCTATTATTTTATATTTTATTAAAATATTTCTGAGGAGAATACATTTGTTGAATAGGAAAATGAGTCTAGCTGTGATGAAATGTACGAAATTTCAGTGCTTTCAAGTCCATGATTCCTAGGTGAATGAATCGCATAACTATGATTTGATCGAATTGATCTTAGATTTTACTCTCTAGAACTTTTGTTAATGTGGTCTATTAATGAATGAGTACTTTAGTTACAGTTACCAAATATGATAGCCCTGCTTAGAAAGATAATAATAAAAATGATCATGAAAAACAATAAAAATTTCAAATGAATAATTTTGAATCGCAACTAATGAGAACTAAAGGAACTATCAGAGTGTCCATAATAGAAACGGGTTTCTTTTTTTAATTTGAATCTTCTCTAAACTTACATATTTGGACATATTTACATTGTATTTATGAATTTTGAATCGCTGTATAAAATACTAATTCAAAATCTCGTAATGAGAGCTTGAGTGCCTGATGAAGAATTACACTCTATCTTTTCACAGCTACTCCTTTTTTTTGAAAAAGCAACTACAAATCGGATATTTTCGTTCATAATTCCAATAAAATTAGAAATCTAGAACACTAATTGCTTAGGGCGTAGTTCCAATACTATCTTGTCTAACATTAATTTTTAGTTCTACGCAGAGAAAATATTACCATCGTGAATATTTCTTCTAGCAATAGTAGTCATAGTTTTTTAGGCTCTAGATTTTGATCCTATTCAAGTAAATCTAAAAGAAATTATTTTTGAATATCCATCTTATATTTTGTGTCTATTCAAGAACTGTACGTATTTAGAAAATTTTCTAAGCCGGGATGATCCAATTGAAGCAAAAGCGACTTTAATGCGACAAAAAAAATTTATTTATTTATGGATTTGTTTCTGTCAAATGCATATAAAAACATATTCGTGATATGACCTTTTCAAAACCATTTTTGCAGAATTCATATCTATTCAAGTAATTGAAAGGATTATAGAAAGAAATTTTGTTGTTTTGGAAACTGAATCAACACTAAGAGGGATACGAAGAATTCAGCTGAGAGTGGAAACAGAGAAAAATTGCTTTTGCAAATCCTCACGTCGGTATGAGCGATGTATTATATTTTCCAAATTCTAAGATATTCATATTCAGTAAATTTAATGCGAGAAGAATCATAATCATTTAGTGACGTATTCAAGATTGTCTATGCATTTCGATGGAACACCAAATGGGATGAAAATCTAATTTCTATTATGAACACATTAGCCGATGTTGATTTGACTGTAGCTACAAGTAGCATTTCTTTTTTTATAAGTTGCTGATTTTACAAACAGGTACTAATAGCTGGTTTAAATACTAAACTAAATCTATGTCAAATATATCCGTATATATATTCATACTGTACTGATGATGAAGATGATGTTTTACTTATTATTCACTATCTATGAACATGAATTTTGCAGAAGTGAAAAAGTAATCTGCATTTGGAATCTGTAGTGTCGAATGATCAAGCGAATATAATGGTCTGTCGAATACAAAATATTGATATTAACAAAACCAGCATATTCATGACTTTTTAAAATGAGTTAAGCTAGTCCTAGTGCTACAACTATTATGATGCAATTCTTTGAATATTTTGATGGTGATGTTAAGAAGTTTGTTTTCTGCAAATAAAAGTACTGATTTACGAGGACTCAATATTTCACACCCAATTATGCTCATTGTTTTATTGAAAGAACACACCTTTTTAAAGTGATCTCAGTATATTTATCCATCAACAGGTGTTTTTATTTTTATTTTTTAATAGCATATTTTGATGTTCTATTTTTTTTTATCATAGTTTCGATTGCTCATCGTTGGTTGCTGATATTAATGGTTCAGACGAAATAAGACTTCGTTTTGGATGAAATACTGACCAAGTAAAGTGAGCAAAAGCAATAGGGGCAATTTGTAGAACATAGAACCATACCTCATGACTATAAGTCTGGTCATAAAAACTAGATATTGATTGAATTACAGTAAATAAAGCACCAATAGCGCACAGAGTACTGGAAACAATGGCCAAAATAATAGCTTGCATAGTCATATCCTTCACTGTTTTACTCCAGTACCATACGGGATAGAAGAGAATAGCTACTGCAAATAAGAATGATGCCGAAAGTTTGCGGAAAAGAAAACTTGCATTAATTTTTTCAGGGTCAAACGATGACATATTGACTGGTACCATTAGGACCCCGGACATAACAACACATGAAATGGCACCAATAAGTATAAGACGAGAAGACAAGGATCTTACATAATGAACTTCAAGAATAAATACGTAGTTACTAACAATAATCATGCGTTGACCTATAGCAGAAAGACTATTAACGATAATGAAAATAGTTTTAGAATTTTGTTGATCTTCAGGAACAGTTGCGCGTACGATCAATTCAATGACAATAGTCAGATGCGAAGCTAAAAGAAGAAAGCTGAGACGAGGTGGTCGAAAACGAGCTTGGTACGATTGAATAAACCAAGCAATAAGTGAAATGCCTACCATGGCAGCAACACAACTTGCAACCGTTTTATTTGCTATGTATGTTGGATAGGGATACAATAATAAATCGTCCATAGTAGTTATTTTATTGTAGTATACAATATATTGCAAAGAATATATTTGGATTGTTTCAATCTGCAGTGTCGCAATATACCGATCTCTCTAATTCCAATAGTTCGTTCTGGGCAAGTCGAACGAACTAAGTAAACATAACGATGCAGCTACGAATTCGTTTTTTATTTATCTATTTGCTTCGATATAGATAGGTAACTTATACTAAAAAGCAGTATTATAACTTAAGGTATGTTATCATCATAGATAATGTCACAATGAAAACTAACAAGACGTAATCAATCATAAACAAACACGACATAAAGTTTATTCTTTTAATATCTACATTGCGTATTAGTTATGAGCCTAACTGAAACTTGAAATACTTGTTCTGTCTTTAAAAACGAGATTGTCTCATTTTTTAATTATTTTTCGATGTTTACATGTTATACAATGATTTGTTTATCGATCATTACCGTCCGATTTTCTACTGACTTTCTTTTTTCTCGTTATTGTACTATAGAATTCTCAGCTATCGATAAATTTATTCGATTATCGCAATCAGAGATTAAAGAATATGAAAACTAGAAAGATGGTTGAATTTAAACTTCAATGTAAAAGCGATTAAAAATTTCGCCTATTCTCTCCTTTAGTTTATTGCAATTTTTTATTTCATTTTCTATCTTGAGTTGTCGTCTAAGTTGATATTTGCATTGCATGACTAAAAGAATGTTAAGCGATCAAAGAATAAATACATGTTTGTTGAATATATTTTAAAAAGAATATATAGACATTGAAAAACTTTTGCTATAATTGAACGGGCCAGATTGAGAAATGTTTTTCAAAGCTTTTCTGAGTGTTTTCGGATTCCTCTGACATTCGTAGTAGAATATTAGCTGTGTATCACGTCAGAGAAGTAAAATCAAAACATCTAATAATAAAACTATTATGGATCACGAAATATCATGTTACACCTATGGTCTAATGAATGAAAACAATTTTTCGATAAAAAGAATAACTCGTTAAAACTAGAAAGATAGATAATTCAACGTTCACCTCTTCGAGCATACAATGTGCTTACATAAAACCAATAGATTTTTTACATGTTATTTAATACAGACATTAACTATAAACATGTTGATTAAAAACAAATTGTTTTGAATACAGTGCGCAAAATTACAGAATAGTAGAAATCTTACGCTGCTCATTCAAATTAGAAAGAAACCAGTACGAGTGTTCATTCTATTGAGTTCTACAGAAACATATGCTACATCAGGTTATTATGCTAATTTTTTCAAAGTAATTGAAGTTGTATCGTTATTAAGATTTTGATGTTTTCTCACGTTGAGCATAATCTAAATTGTTTTTTTGTTAGTTCAAATTAAAACTTAGGGTACACAAATGAGAATTATGCTAGAATAAAAACTGAAGAATATTTAATCTGTTAAGATGATACAGTAAAGTTAATAATCAATTGTCAATGACATATAAACAGAAACATATACACAAATAATTTATTCTTGTGAAAGAATTTGAATACAGTAAATCTTTAATTCTGTTCAAATCAGTAACAGAATTCAACAAGCAGAAAGATTACATGGTAACACTAAAATTAAAAAGCGGTAATATAACAAGCTATTTTGTCTAAACTATATAACATATATGAATTGGATCTTACTCTTGAATGAATTGTGTACAGGCTACTGAAATTTACAATTTTTATCAATCAATTATTAGTTTATTGTTATGTATCTTCAAATAGGTTATACTTTAGATTGACTGTTTGATGAATAGCTACTATTGAGCTGCACTGAATCGCGGCAGAATCAAGGAAATTCAAAACTTATTAAAATAAAACGACATTATTTATTTTGAAAACCCTCGACTAAGAAAAAAACGAAATAAAATTTGTTCTGTTGTCTACTTTTATTTTTTTTTTAGGAAAACATTAAGAATCAATTCAACATTACCATGTCTATAATAAATAGATACTGAGCATTCAGAATTTTTCATCTCAATTCAATGAGTAATTTAGTTGAATAAGTTACATTCTAACAGTTGAATTTGTACCAATGAATCAAATAACATAAACGATGCCATAAAATAAAATAAATATTCTACAGAAGACAAAAAAGAAGAATGTAAATAAATGTTTACTTCATCAAAAAAACTGGTCTAAGAAAAGTCTACCAGTAACATGTTGAAATAAAATATTTCTTTTTACAAACGAAATGAGTGCTATGAATTCTTCAATTGAATTCATGTTCTTTTTTATTTTGATTCTATGCATACTCTATTGAAATAATCATAGTTATAATCATTATTAGGTCATTGAATTCAATAATTCTGATAGACAAAAAAAACTACTTCATTTGAAAAAAAAACATATCGAGCATAAACATATGATAGTGAAAGCATTAGGCTTAAGTTTTTAATTCTGATCATTTCAGTATGACAAGTTGAAATTGTTTGAAGCCTTTTTAAGATCACATCATGAGATTTATCATTACCACTTTTGGAATACTAACATAGGAACGCACAATTGAATATTGGCATCTCCTATATGGTTTAGTTGTTGTTTTTTGTGTACTCAAAAAGTGAGTGCACTCTAGAATCTGTCAGTGTGTCTGGCCGTCCGTTTACACGATAAATATTCCCAGTTACATTCGATTGTTCTGAAATTTTGTGCACAGAATTGTCTCGTCAATATCTCGGTCGAGTTCGAAGATGACAAGGATCCGTCAAGAAACGGCTGAGTTATCGAAAAAAATTGTCATCATTGCCCAGATCATCCCTGAGGCTGAGGGGAGGGGGTATAGAGATTTTTTCAAAAAAATATTTTTCTCAGAATTATTCACAACATATATAAATCGATTCAGTTTTTAACGCTGATTCCGAATCTGATATTAGTTTTGAACCAAATCGTAGCTTTCTAACAAAACATTGCCTGAAAAAGGTGTCAACATGCACAAAAACTGCATCCAGAATGGTGCGGGTGTGGGTTTGTGTCCTGCTTATATACCCCCACACCCACACCCACACTCTCAAGATNCAGGGAGGGGGTATAGAGATTTTTTCAAAAAAATATTTTTCTCAGAGTTATTCACAACATATATAAATCGATTCAGCTTTTAACGCTGATTCCGAATCTGATATTAGTTTTGAACCAAATCGTAGCTTTCTAACAAAACATTGTCTGAAAAAGGTGTCAAAATGCACAAAAACTGCATCCAGAATGGTGCGGGTGTGGGTTTGTGTCCTGCTTATATACCCCCACACCCACACCCACACCCACACCCTCAAGATTTATTATTAAGAGTCTTCTAAAATCGTTTACATTTCCTACACATAATTCTAATTGTTAATAAAAGCAAAATTTTCTCGCTGATTTTGATAGGTAACTATGCATGGAGAAAGTGCTGGAGCTCAATCGGCAGCTNGAGTCTTCTAAAATCGTTTACATTTCCTACACATAATTCTAATTGTTAATAACAGCAAAATTTTCCCGCTGATTTTGATAGGTAACTATGTATGGAGAAAGTGCTGGAGCTCAATCGGCAGCTTTACATTATGTTACTCCTGAAATGCAATCATTTTTTCAAGCTGCAATCATTCAAAACGCTTCAATGCCAATACCTTTTAGGAAAAAAAATTTCTTCTATTAAGTATCATGTGATATTATTAAATTTATATAGAACCTATGCAGAATATGTCACGTCTGGCATACTCCTTGATGAGCAACTCAATTGTAGCTACACAGATATTTCTTGTTTTCGTGCAGCATCCTATCAACAGATAGCTGCTGCTCAAAAAGTTGTTAATACATTGTTAAAATCATTGAAAATTCTACTAATTTTTTTTGAGCCATGGGTACCTACCATTGACAACTTAATTGTACACGGTCAAGCTGTTGATACTATTAAAAATGTATCATTTCCATTAAAACCACTTATCATTGGTACATTAACTGAAGAAGCTGTTCTCTACATTTATGAAGATTGGCACAAACCGGTGTATTCTACGCAATATACAGAAATTACTGTGGCTACCTTTAACCGGCGTGCATTGAAAGTTCTCGAACGTTTTCCACCTGTGGGAACTAGAGACCAGCGTCTGTTATTAGTTAGTGTTGGTACTCATTGGATGTTTGCTTGTTCTACTCGTGTATTTGCTCGAAAAGCAGCTACTTACACATATGTATTCGGATATCCACTTGATTTTGATGGTTGGGATAATTTAACTTTGTGCAATGATTATGTTTGTCATGGTAGTAAATTATCATACGTATTCGAGTCTGCTTTGGTCAATTTTACTGATGCAGGACGACAATTAACAACAAATATAGTCACTTCTTGGACGAATTTTGGTAAAATACACGATCCTAATCAACCAGTAATACCATCATTGTTATAGCCAAAAACATTAATTAATAGTAAGCAGCATATGTATTTTCAAAATCCACTTCAAGTACAAGAAAATTATTTAAAAGATGATTGAGACTGTTTTGATAAGATTGACTACAAATATCAATATCTGGAGACTGTAATGCAAACAAAAGCAAAGACTACTTTCGAATATATATTCCCTATAGATTATTCATTGATTGCGTTTAAGTCGTCTGTTTTCTTTCTATCAAGTTTAAATATACAAATAAGTATTTATCTATGTCAAATTGGTGAGCCTCAAGTAAAAATTAACTTTTAATCAAGTCCTTCAACCAAATTCTGTGTCATTAAATATTGTGGTTAAATTCAGAAGTTAATATTGAATAGCATGTATTTTATTTTTACATCAACTGAGAACTAAAACATTTTTTTGTTTTAAAATCAGTTCTCGGGGTCTAAACATAGACCTAGTGTTAAACCTTTGTATCATATCGATTCATTTAATCATTCAATGCTGGGAGTAAGGATTAATATAGGTTTAAATCATTGTAAAACAACTCAATAGACTGCTATGTGATGCACAACTAGAACAAGTGTATCCACCGATGATCGTTGTATTGATATATGTATATTCTTCGAGTTTTTAGTAAGTGAATCTTTTTAAAGAATTCTATTTGGCTTTCTTTTGAAATAAGAAACACTCAATGAACTGAACTCGACGATACAGCAAACTTATTATTATTGAAGAAGTACTGCTATTGGTTTTTGTAGAGAAAATATGTCTCTTGTAACAGAATCCAAAAGAGAATTTCATCTATGTGATGAAATATATATTCTCTATGATTATTATTTATGGTACTTCCGAGATTTCCTCTTTCTCTACAGAGGTTCATCTTTGAATAGACTACATTGGGAACTTGTTTGATTGGCAGTCGACTAGAAACATATTTTAATGAGTACCACAGGATAAAAACTATTTTGAGATGATATTCGTCTGTTTTTCAAATAAGTGAGAAAATGTTTATTATTAATTAAAGCAAGTCTACGACAACAATATGAGATTCTTTGAAAATAAATTGATCATCAACATTTATTAACTGTTAGCAAATGACCAATAAAATTGTGACCTCGTTTTAAATATTATTAAATCTCCATGATAGTTACATGGATATTTTTGGGTTCATTACTCCCCTCTCTACCTATGCGAATAATGCAACCAATTGCGGCGTACATGATGATTCGTTCGAATCAATAGTTGTAATACATTAGTTTTTGTTTTTATGAGTCTAACTATTGTAAATTCAATATATTTCATGAAACTATCAGAAGTTTAGATCATGCCTAAAAACCAAGCATTTACAAGAAAAAAAATACTACAACATGACTCTTAGTTAATAAAAGAATTCTTGTGATAATATCCAGATAATGATTTCCACAATTCACAGAGCAACTTCACAAAGCCAGAACATAATACACTTTTTAAATATATTTCCTTTGATTTTTCTGTATCAGATAACTTTTATTATTAGAACAGAGTGACTAGTTATGACTGATTGAAATCTACGAGAAAAACTTATTCTTACTTTTCAACTTTTAAGATTCTATATGAAACGGAAGCAAAATTTCAATACAACCATCTGATTATTTTTGCATCGGATATTACTCTTGGAGTATTCACTGCTTGGAGTTTAATTAGTGTTTAAATTGTTTTAAATGTCGTGCTTAATTAAAACCTTAAATTTGGAAAATTAGTTTAATTTAAATCGTAGAAATAATTGTATCAGACAAGAACTCTCTCTCTCTCTCTCTCTCTCTCTCTCTTATTTCTACAATTTAGAATGAAGTTATATATGGCTTGGAATTTATGGAAAATAAGAAGAATAAAAGAGAATATATATTATTCTCGTTTGAAACAGTCACTTCTATGATTTCAAACAAATTGGTTTTTATGGTTACAGTTTTAATTTAGAACGAAATCTAAAATCAATTCACTATTTGAAATTCCAAATAATTATTGAATATTTCAAGAGTAATCTCTGTCGTAACAACAATAATTACACAGTTCTCTTGAACTTCTACTTATTTTTCCTCTAGAATATTTTGAGTTGAAAATTAAGGTTAATTTTCTATCATAAATTTCATTCTATAATAAATGATATTATATAAATTATGTAATTAGAACTTGAATACCAGAGTGAATATCTATTTTGACAATGTAACGCATTATTAATCACCACATAGCATATAGATGAACTTCAAATTACTTTTGAATAACGAAGAAAAAAACATCTACCGACTTCTAAAAATGCGCTAGATTCTATTCTAAAGACAAAAAACTATCTATTACACAAAAACGCAAAGGAAACATGCAAAAAAAAGCTAATCCTGCTCTTATTTTGTGAAGTTACTCTGCGAACTGTTGGAATCTCTATCTGGATATAATCAAAATGCGTCCTTCATTACAGAAGAATTATAAAAATGAAATGTGTGCCAGGCTAGTTTTTCTACTGGATCAGTTGAGAAAATATTATTTAGTTTTCCTTCGGAGAAGATGAGTAGTACCTGGGGCGTATCCTGAATGTTTCTTTTTGCGAGCTTATCAAGAATCGTGATATGACTGTTTTTTCTTATGAAACGAATGAAATATTTTGATTGTAAAACAATTTAATGTATGGTCTTGCTTGATAAATGGTTGTAAATACACATGAGTACAGGCAATTGCAATTTGAAAATTGTATTTTCATGTATTTAAACATAGATAGCACAAATATGAAACATATTTGTACTGTATGTTATACTTTTACTTTTAGCATAACTCGAATTAAATTTCAGGTTACATTATAATACTATGAAATAGAAAAATGACGAGAAGAGTCTTTTATTTAAGTAAAATTCCATCAAGATTAAGTAGAAAATATACTACAGAGCGTAAAGTTTTCGAATGTCAAACTCAACATAAGTATATTAACATACTTTCTTGTACGCTATAGTTATCTACAATGTTTTGTCAACACGCACTTCAAATATATTATATAAAATGACATGAACTACATTAATCAAATATTAAACTATAACATAAATTTTCAAGTAAATTCATCATTCAATGCCACTAAGGTTCTTAGTCAGAAATTCCATTGAAACCAGATGATGCTACGTATTTCAATTTATTTTGAAGAATACTCAATCTTCTTTATTTAATAAAAACGCAATCCTTCTATTCTCAACGAACATCATCAACATGAATCATTGATTGTATATGATTTATAAATGGTAACAAAACCTATCACATGTATAAGGTTCATTTTCAATGCAATGCTCAAGTTGATCAGAAATAATCTTTCTGTAAGTCGACTTTGGTTTTATTTGAAAATAATATTCGATAACAGATAATGGTGAATCATATTATAAAATTTAATCGAACAAATAGTTTTTAAAACTAAATACTATACTCTGATCAATATAGTTGTGTTTAAAATATTTAAGAATAGTTCTATACGATGATGATAATTATCAACAACGTTTTACTTCAATTGAATCCATATTTAGTACGTGACAAAGTGACAAAATTTTATTGTTATTTTATGATTACGTTCACTACACGCTAAGACAAAATCGACACAACAAAGACATTTGCATTTAATCCGAATTGTTTATTTAATAGAATACTTCTTAATATGAATGTGCCTCTGCATTATTGTTTACTGTGGTATTGACTTGAATACGTCTTAATAATGGTGCTAATATTGGTATCATCTTGCCGAGTTCTCGTCGAAATTCTATACCTAAAATCAAGTACCAGATAATGGGTACTGCAAAGGAAGAATATATTGGAATTCGAATCATTGTTTGAATAAGCATGTAAGATCCAAACATATTTGGTCGAAATAATATTAAATATTCGATCCATTCTAATAGATTAAGCACAATGTGAACAGTAACAAGTAGAAGAAATATTTGAGTAAGATGATACTCCATCTTACGACATTTTGAGACGGTGATCGGTAAATCACCGATCATTTTTCTATTTTGAATTGTTAACCGAGTAAATATTATCATCAGAATGGGTGCAATAATAGCAAATAATACGAGTTGAGCGATTAAATAAAATTGATTATAAATTGTAGTAGCTCGAATGGCACACCCGAGCCCATCTGTTGCTCCAAATTCTGTTACGACCGCACTACTAACGGCGACGACTGCACAAAAGACAATAATGGTGAGCACCACCCATGGCATTACTTGAAAGTTGTTGAAACGAAGATGACGAACATTCGTTGAACTAGCCGCCCATCGATCGATAGCCGTAAATACAATAAGATAGTGCGACAAACCAGTACAAAATGTATTCATAAAACTGATGAATTGGCATAAAGGAAAAGAATTTGAAAATATGGGAATTTGAAATCCATCTGTCAATATACGATACATGAGGACAGTAACTGAATAAACACAATTGTTAGTAGCAAGAGCAAACAAATACCAAGAACAGACATGGTGATTGAAGACAGGTCGAATGAATATGGCAATATTCACCATATTACCCAAAATACTGAAAAATGTGATTATAAGAACAACCCATCGGTTTATTTGAACGTTGATCTCTTCAAATTGATAGGCCATTTTTTATTTCAACAACTAATATATCTATATGTAACTGAATAATTAGTTTATTAAGTGTGTTTCTGAGTGAGTATGATTTCGTAGTAATCACGATTAGATATAGAAGTGACATAGAATTTTGTTTTACAAGTCCTTTGCTACTAATATTTTCATAGGCTAGAATAAATAATTAAGTTATCTTGAAGACGTTCAACAAAAAAGTTTCTTTTTCTTACTTACAGTCAGAAACTATGTATGGCTTTTAGAGCGTTAATATTATCAAAACTGTTAGGAAGAATGTTTCCTTTTACTCGTCTATCATACTATTCATCTCGTATTCCATAGCCGACAGAACAAAAGCAATAATTTATTTTCTTCTTCTTCTTTGAACTATCTGTGTCAGATTTAGCTCAAAGGAAAAATACTCTCAACTCTTTTTAGTTTCATATTTATTTTCATCAATAAGACAAACGTTCTAGAGATTATTGTCATCTTTCATCATTTATATTTACGTCTGGAGAGTAATTCTATTTTGCACTGTTGTTTCTAAAGTGGTTCTATTCACGCAATGATTATTTGAGAATGATGAAAATAATTGCTAGGCATTATAGCTTATATGTATCGCACATGCCATCTTATAGTAATAGTGCATATTCTGCGATGCTGCGATATAAGTGCACATAATATATTCTGTTTCGATTCATCTTTATTAGGATTGTTTATTATACCTGAATAATCTTTAGTACAAGAATGAAGTGTACCCAATGGCAACAACTTGGCATGAAGCTACAACTCTATTACTTCTAATCACTTTGTATTAACATATCTAATGAGATGATAATTTCAGAACAAATGAGTAAATACTACATCAGTTTTTGATACTATATACTGCCTAACTTAGCACATCAGAATTTTTATTTGATAGTAGTTCTTCATTATTGATACTCGAAAGTAACATTCGAATGTAATTTGTTTTTGAAAATACGTCCCGCTCTTTTGCTATAGTTAAAGAAACATGCTTAGACTGTTTCTATGGTGAAGGAAAGAAGTTTCAAACTTGTTTCATCTTTTGAATAAGCACATCTGAAATTTTTGTCCTCTTTCGAGTCTGTGTCAAAGTGTATAGAAATAAAACAATACCATTTCAAAGAAAAAAAGTTATTGGTTTATGCCATCAAACAATTTTTTAAATATTTACTCTAGGTCTTATAAGTTCATCGTTCAGTAACATTAAAACCAAACTTGATTGAATAACTAGCGATTCATTTATCGTAACGGGCATTTTTATTTTGATCTCCAAGTAAATGAAATATCTGCTTAGTAAAACTATTTCAATAGCAGTGAATAATACATTTTTAAAAACGCTTTTCTTTTCTTATCTGCTAGCATGAATACTAATAATAAAATCTGTGCTAAAATCTGAGAATTTCTGCAGTTTTGCTTCTCATCTGATGAAGGTAAAATTATACCATGTGCTGTTTTCTTCTTTTATTTATTTTTGTTTGGCGTACGCTTGCTGTCAAAACAGGTTGTGTAATTGCATAATATCCAAAACGAAAAAGTTTATATGCAGTTGAGACAAATAACTGTGTAGCGCACAGCGCTCTGGGGATTTAAAATGGAAAAAATTAAAAAAGTTATAAAAATACTAATAAAAAGTATAAAACCGATGCGCCGACTGGTAATATACAGTTCGGAAAGCTGAAAACTTTAAAAAAAGACAAAAAAGCCCCCGGCTTTTTTATTTTTTTAATTATAATACATAACTATGTGAATGACATTGACATCAGCGTGTCGAGTGTTTATCTAATACAAAATAAAGAATAGAATATATTAACTAAAATGCGGTTACTGTATAAAAAAAAGTAATTGAATTTATTTGTTTATAAGATGAGTCAATAGAGAATTTGTAATATTATGTATTCAATACCGAAAGCTTTTTTCTGATTCACTGTATACAAGTCGTTGAAATTATATTATCAACATTAATCATTAGTAATTGTTTGACCGAGTAATATAAAAAAAAGACATTTCTCAAAAGGAAATTCATTTTTTCTATATTTTAGCTGAAAGATACTTTATTGACAATTCTATTCAAATCATAGAGATGTTTCAAACACTTTCTATGCTCAGATATTAATTGGCATCTTGAATAGAAACGATTTCTTTTCATAATCTCTTCGTATTCTTCGAGATTAACTAAGTAATGAAAAATTGCTATAAATAATTATATGTGAGAAAATGCTGGCGTATCAAAATTAGAGATTCAACTGAATTAACTTAAGTATCTTAAAGCTTATGATGCACAAGATTAAACACAAACGTAAGCCACTGGAGGCTTGTATGCTGCCCTCTGATTGCAATTTTTTTTTAAAATATAGGAATCCTTAGAGGATCAAGATTGTCAAAAACGATAGGATTTTCGATAAAAAATGACAAAAATATACGATGTTTTATACATAGTTTCTGTTGAATTGTCTTGCTGTTTTTTAACAGCTCTGTTCGAAAATCGTTTTAATGTAGCTGTTATAAACAGTTCAATCGTAGCCAAGATCCTTGATTAATTTTTTCTACTAAAATAAGTCGCTAATTCGAGGATCATTATAAAAGTTTTTCACAAATCGATAAATAACAATAAAGTAGATCATAAGCTTTGAAAAAACAAATACTATTTCTCATAATTAAAGGAGGTTTTTCAGATTACGGACATGTCTTCCTGAAACCTCTCAACCTAATTTTATTGTCTTGATAATCAGCATTCATTGCTCATTATTTTCCACAAGTTTATTTTGCATTTTATCATAACTCAATTTTTCACACCTGGGGTGCCCCTCAAACATCGGAGAAAAGGTTTTGATCGCCGTTCTGCTTGAAGTCTTTACAGTCATATAGAGCAAAGTGCACTGATCATAAATATCACCTTATATTTTAATACTCATCCGATAATAAGAGAGATCTGAAGTATTCTCTGGAAGCCTCACTAGGATGTGGGATGTGGGTTTGGATATTGATGAACATTCAGACCCATACCCACACCCACACCCTCAACGAGTACACATGTTTGTGTAAAAAAATCAAAACTCAGTGTTAAAACTTCTTCGCCAGTTTTCTTTCTTAGTTTTATTAATGTTGTTCTTTAACTAAAAGAAGATTATTTGAGTTAGGGAAAATTTTTTAAAAGCTGTATTATTCTGAGTCGTTTTCATAATGAATAAAATATTTTATCTACTATCATTTCGAATAAATAAGTACACATAAATATACAGCAACAAAAAAAGGATACACAAAAGCGAATTTAACACATCATAAGCACATCATGGTTACGTCGTTCATATCTCGAATCACCTAAAGATAAACTTTTCATCAAATATTTAAAACAAGAACAACAATATACTTACAACTAATGGAAGATGTGTTAATTTTGACTTTCTTTTAGATTTACGCTGTCGAATGGTATTATTTGATGTTTTATCATGATAATTTTCCATATTGATAAAAGATGAGTTCGGAGGTGATGGCATTACCTTTGAGAGCATATAAATTCATTTTACTTCCGTTTATTTATTCGTTTGTCTTACTTTGATTTGACCATAAACATTTTGTATTGTATGTAAAAGAGAAAAATCCAAAGATTGATCGCCTGAACATACTGGTGGACGAATTGGGAGTTTCGTTGAAGTCAATGGTCGTGGTGACGATGCTAATAAATGAGGGGGTGTAGAAGCAGGAGCAGGAGCAGGGGCAGGGGCAGGAGAGCGTGGTTTTGCACGAATCGGTTGGCTTACAGTATGACTTGTTACTTGATTCAGTAATTTTCTAGTAAGAGTAGCTGTTGGTGTTTTTGCTACACGTCTTGCGCTACATGTTACTGCGGTACCAAGAACGAACGGCTCCTTGTTGACTATTCGACGAGGCTATGAAATCAAATCATACATAATCAATAGAAATAGATAAATTATGTTGTATATACAGTGATCACTGGTGTTCGAGATCGAACTGGTGTAAGACCTAACAGGCGTGATGTTGTGGGAGTCTTTCCAGGCATATTTATAGGCAATGTTATAGTTGGTATTTGTTGATGAGCTTCATCGAATTTTTGTCGAATAGATATATTATCGATCAAAAATAATGGATCATTATTTTCAGATAAAACATTTAAAAACTCTTGTTCAATAATCGGTAGTTCTCGATGAAACCTTTTACGTTTACGTCCTTCAATTTCAGCATTTTAGCCACGTACATGAAAACGTCCAGGATCCGTTGATGCTTTCTAAATAATCGAATACAAAAAAAAACAAGAACTTAAATGGATAAAAGCAAACCGTAAATAAAACAAATTCATTCCAAAATGAAAGCCATCTATCGTAAGCATCAAGAACTGGTTGACGTTTCTTATAAAGTTGTGTAATGCGTTCTAATTCAGTATCATATGCATCGAGTAATTCCGACGATAAATTTTCTATTAGAATAATAATTAAAAATCAAATATTAAAAAACATGAATCACGATTACTATTACCGAAATCAAGTTTGTTTAAGATCGTACGTTCATCATCACCAACACGTGCTTTTCCTAAGAGATCACTAATCTGTTGATGCATTGAATGACAATATTCACGTCCATTTTTCATTCGTTCTTCTCGACAACATGCTATTTCGTGTTCAAGCTAGAACAAAATTTTTTCTCTCATTTAAACTGTATTTTGAGAAATTTTCGACATCGATCAACTGCATTTCAATGTCAACAAAGGAAAAAAAAGTATCGTGATGTATTCAAATATGAATATTACATATTTCTATTTATGGTGCACATACCATAAGTACAGATTAATATTGTCATTTAATTTATAAAACTAGGATACTACATTGAAGTATTTGATGTTAAATCGTTTTGAAACGTTTTAGGTAGATTTTCTTCACGTATAATTAAAGTGTTTAAGTAGAACAGTACATTTAAACTCACTGAATCTATCAAATTAACTAAACATGATAGATATGTTTTTTTTAGCTGTACGAAAGGCCACATACGTATAAACTAGTTTCGTTGTAGCATATAAGCTACTTTCTTAGTGCATTTCCGAGCGATCAAATAGAAGTACAGTGAGGAAATCGGCCATGACATGACTGAAATTAATCCATTTTCATTAGACTACTAAAAATAGCTGTTTTATTTATCACATTTTTTTATCTCATAGAGATTATACTGAAACTGTTCTAATGAAGAATTTGATTTAATTCTTACTAAAATACGAGAAATATGTAATGTTTAATTTTTCAAGGAGAAGATCATCAAGCTACTTGTCAAATCTATAGTGAGTTACAGATAATTTTCTATTTTGGTCGACAACCAAAATGAACAAGCTAGCAAGTACATGTGTTTGTTTCTATACTTCTACAATCGTTTTATATATGTAGGATTTCATGATAATATAGTAGGAGCAAATAAATACGTATGTTGATCATTGATCTACCACTTGCTACTTTATTAGCGAAAAAATACATTAAGTACAAAATAAAACATGATTAAATTTGAGTTTTGTTTATTTTAAAACACTGATTCTGATGCACTTCAATGAAGTAAGTAAAGGTAGGCAATTAATGATCTAAACACGCACACATACATCCTCTTGACCGTGAGATATTTATATATGACAACTATTCATTTCTCAAACGTATTGCTTAAGTTAAAAATATTTTTCTATTTTTTTCACTCAATAAATGTTTTTCATGCCATGTATTTTTGACAATAGTAATTCTGTCAATCAAATACCTACCTATTGGTTATTTATATAGTAATGCTTAGTGGGAAATGCCTACATCAAGTGATTACGAATACTTTTCAACCTCACATTTTGCAAACTTGTGTATGTTTCTTTCCAAAGAAGCATTTAAACTTAATTAGAGATTATATTTATAAGTAAATGAATTTTAATAAAATTTGAGAAAACTTAATTCGTAAAATTTCTTCTCTTACTTGTTTAATCATAAATTCATTGATATGTTCACCTCCAGATTTATATGCTAAACAATAATCTTTATTTGGATCTTTTTTTAAATATTGATAGAGATGATTTAGTTGATCATGCAGCTTAAAATAACGAAGCTTTTGAATTTCAATTTGATTTTCCAACTGAAACGAAATTTTAATTAGAGAAAATTCAGATAATAGAAGGAAAAAAAGAACTCAAAAAGTCTAACTTGCTGTATTGTTGTCTCAATTTCATTAAGACAATCAGGAGTAAGGCAACGATCAAATTGTTCTAAAAGAAGATATTCAACAGTGGATTGAGGTGAAGATGGTGTCCATTCTAGCTGTTCAGAATATGATTTTAATTTAAAATAATATAATGATACTTGTGTTAAGCGTGAATCCTAGAACAAATAGCATCTATGTAGGTAAACATATTAATTTGTAATTGTATAACTTTTAATTCATTAAGTATATTAAGATGATCTTGAATTTTTCTGTTGATTTCTACGAGTGAGATTGGTATATCTAAAAAAATATGACGTGTTATAAATTAAATTTTCAAAGGCAAAAACTATCGATTACGAACTTTGATCAAACTCGATGGATGCAGAATTAAGTAATTTACACAAATAGTTTTGTTTATTATCAAGTTCACTTCTTCGATGAACCAATTGACCTTCGTTAATTAATAGTTCTTGGATTTTTCTATCAATATATATTTCTTGTTCTTTTAATTTTAGTTTATCAAATATTAACGTCTAAAGTCAAAATATAAAACTAATCAAAACAAAGACAAAAAGTACAGGTAATGATTTAATTACATCTATAGAAGATGTAAGTCCAGTACGTTCAAGTAAATCTTCATAATCATCAAGTAATTGTTTTAATAACTGTCGCCGCTTTCCTAACTGTTCTTGATACATAGATATTTTATCATCAAATAATTTCTAAAATAAAATAACTATTATCAACAGTTTTCAAATGCTTCAATCATAATACTACTTGTGTGTGCTCTTCAACTTTTTCAGCACGAGATAACCATTGATGTTCATTAAAACCAAATGAAGACCATAAATCATACCAATTAGCGCATGTTGTTGTACGGTCTAATACGACTGAGTTTCTATTATCCATCAATGAAAGACTTTTACTAAAGAGAAAGCAACCAGAAAAATGATTAGTGCTAAAGAAAAAGTAAAAAAAGTAACATACAATTGACTTTCTAATGTTTGAAAAACTGAGTTTTTCTTTAACCGAAGTATCGACATTTCGAATTATGAAACAGATAAGTGGAAAATAGTTATTAGCGGATCTTTGTTTTTGATAACCAACGATATATTACTATATGGTGAGGATTCATTGCAAATACTGACATCTATGCAAATCAAAGTTGAGTTTTATCAAAGTCTATCATAATGCTCTGATCGGTATGTAAACGTTGATACATATTTTAAAAATATGCTTTATTTGGAATAAGATTTCTCATTACTATATAATTCTCATTGTTTGAAAATAAAGATGGGAGCAATCTTTGAGACCAAAAAGAACAGAATCTTGCATAGCGATTGATTGAAAGATTCAAGTAAAATGTGATTATAAATATTTTTCTTTACTTCAGCTAAATCTTTTGAATATATTCGATTTTGTCAATATAAAATAACATGGTCGTTTCTATTATCGTTCAAACAATTCAGTCACATTGTTCTAATGAGAACAATCATGAACAAAAAGGACAACATTTATTGGAGCTGATGATATTTCCGATACTATTTTTAATACGAAGTAATGAAACCAAGTTTCAAGGCTTACTCATACTGATATCTACATTGAGACTTAAAGGTATCGATTGTACCATTTTCCATATCATTGATTCATGTGGTTACATTTATGTACGTATATCAAATTTTCTTTTCAAATATCTTTAAATAGTCTTGTTTTTGTGTAGTTTTGAATCGCATGCAGTTTTAAAAACATAACTATTTATTATTTTATGTAAACTTTTGAATATTTTTCAGTCGTATATCATACATTGGAAAAAAAGATTATCATCGATGAAAGAAATGGTTTAGTTTCGGTTAAATTCTATTTTCTTTATCGGTATTGATCGATTTATACTAATGCAAGTAAAACTTTTATATTTCTTTCAAATGAAAAAATAATAAATTTCCAAGAACAATATACTTTTATAAAATTTACCAAATACTGATATATTGAAAGGAAAACGACTACACAAGACATACTCTAGTCAGTTTTAGATTACATATTTATGTTAATACTAAAAAATAACGGATCCTAACACTTCAAAGTCGTTGAGAGTTTACATATATCAATATGAACTAACTCAAACAAAATTATGTTTGATCTACTAACTTGAAATTCATCAGTTGTTGTTAAAAAAGAAGCTATTTAAATAGTTCATCAGCCTATGTTTATCTCAATTGATCATATTGAGGCAGAACTATTCGACTCTTTGCTTTTTTGGTAGTTGTTTAAGGTGGTCTATCATGCACAATTTACTTTATCTACATTTTGCTATTAAACATAGATTCATTGTACTGATTATTGATGTTTCTATTTAAGTATGATATTTATTTTTTGTCAAAGTTACGTACACAAAAGAATATTATCTGTCTGACTGAGATTTTTCTTGAAATCAATTCAACTGTATAAATAATAGTTATTATTATTATGTTTTATTTAGTTAAACTGTCGATATCAATATTCTTCACTCATACTTGAAATTCTCAGAATATCAATCGATTCTATATATGTTATTCTAATATTTAACATGATACATTTACAATAAAACTCCCATCGATAATATTTTTCAATTACGATTGTTTGCATATCAATCGAAAAGAAATTATTTTATTGTTTTTCTGTCACATGTTAACGTTTTCTTTCATAGAATAGTTAGTTTTCAATGTAATTTGTCATTTTCTTCCCAAATATATAAATAATATGATGTCTATGTTTTAGGGTTTTATTTTGCTTTCCCTTAATGACGCATTCCTGTCAATAGCAAGTTCGCTCTTTCCTGCATGAGACGCAAACGAAAAAATAAATTAGTGGTTTGATTATAACCTCTGTATATTGAAAAATCAATGGATGGAAATTTTTCTCTACCTACAACCACGAACACACATTTTTTTATAAAAACAACATCGATACAATCCCTACAAAATACAAGTATGACTGTCTTTGATTGATTAGAAAAAACATTTATGTCTCTTGATCGTCGCCTAAAATTAAAGTTAATAAGTTTCAAAAAAGAAACTAACCACTAAATTATTTTAACATTTTCTGTACAGATAAAAAATAAAAGAACATAAATTACAATTTCTAGTAACTAAATAAATAAAAAAGATTTCATATCAATTCATAAGCAATTTCAAATAAAAGTCTACCATAACTCATGCATATTTATCAATAACGTAGAAAACTATGGTCTATTTATTTATTTGGTATATTTTTTGTACTTTTAGAAATGATTAAACAATCAGAAAGACATTCTAAATGTCAATATCAAGCAGGTACGATCTATAAATTGTCTATTACAAAGAAACAAGCGCATCTTTCAAATTCATCTTTGTGTCTTTAGACAAAGCATGGCTAGATATTCAATATGATTCGGATAATGATGTAGTAAGACCTCTCGAACTTGAAAAGCAAATGGAAGATCCACCAATTCGTATCGATAGTGATTTACTGGATCATATATGTGGTTCAATGATTGGGATGGCTTTGGGAGATACTCTAGGTGCTCATGTAGAATTTCAACCTCATAAATATCTTGTACAACATCCGGTTACTAAACTCATGGGAGGTGGTACTTGGGGCCTCAACAAAGGAGAGGTATCTTCCATCGTGTGAATATATCGTTTCACTTTTAAAGTAACAACTGTGAAAGTTAAGAGGATAGTGGAGAATCAATTTTACAGTCACAATTTTCGACATACTTTAATCGGAACTTCTTGTCAGAAATGTATTCAATTCATAGAATATATTTGAGGATGACGAAAGATTTCTGAATTTGCCTTTTTGTTTTTATTTTACACTTACGTACATAAAAGAATCCTTCATATCAGAGAGACTATATGGTCTCAACATAAAAAGCAATATATAATATTGTCTAGTTATCTAGAAAAAATAATTTTCATTTCTAAGTTTTATCAATAATATCCAATATCCAAGTATAATTTTTTTACATGTGCTTTTATAACTTTTAAAATGTGTGTACTTTAGTTTACTGACGATACATCGATGGCTATTTGTCTTGCAAACTCATTAATAGCTCGTCGTAATTATGTTGCTTACGATCAATTAACTCGTTACAAATGGTGGTATCGAGACGGTTATATGTCTTCAGTAGGCTATTGTTTTGATATTGGCACGGCAACGAAGGAATCGTTGGAAAAATTTGAATCTCGGCAAAAGAAATTTGCGAAAAAACATAATATTCCTCTTGATCACTTAGATTATCTTTCAGACCCGGATCTTTTGAAAGAGTTTGATGTGAAATGCAGTAGAAAAGATTCGGCTGGAAATGGAGCACTCATGCGGCTTGCTCCTTTGGCACTCTTTTTTCATAAAGATCCTTCTATAGCTGTTGAACTTTCGGGACAAAGTGCACTGACTACTCATAGCGATCAGAAAGCCTATGATGCATGCCGCTACTACGGGGCTCTGATCGTCGGCGCTCTACATCGTAAAAAGAAAAGCGATTTACTCGGCAAAAAGTTTTACTCGACGCATAAAAAATGGTTTAATAATAAACCTCTTCATTCGGATATTCAATCAATTGCCAATGGCTCATTTAAGAAGGATGGATATCGTGAAGGTATTCGAGGTAAAGGTTTCGTCACTAATTCTCTTGAAGCTGCTTTATGGGCGTTTTGGTCTGATGAAGGAGACTTCAGAAAAGGTGCTCTCGCTGCTGTCAATCTGGGTGACGATACTGATACAACAGCAGCTATCTATGGTCAATTAGCTGGTGTATACTATGGTTATAAAAAATTACCCTCCGATTGGATTGAACGGTTGTATGCCAAAGAATTTATTCTAAGTTTGAGTAAATGGATCGCCTATGAAGGTTTAAATTGGTCATCAGAAGCACCAGCATCGGCAAGCACATCGGAGCATGACAAGCAGCCACATTTCGAAATTTCACAAAATTCAAGTACGCACTCTGAAGCAGAAAAAAATCCAAAGGATGCCTCAAGATCAACAGAGATAAAACCATATGTAAAACTAGAATTATCTTCAAAACTTGAATCATTAAAAGACCATAATCCAGATTATATATTACAACGAAATACTATCATGGATTCGTATCTTGCTGTGGCATCTGATTCGGATGGCTTAACTACAGCTGCTAGTTCCAAATCATTACAACACGATAAACACACGTCAACACAACAAGGTAAAACTTGAAAGTTTTCAATGGATAGTTTTTAAATAGCATGATAATAGATAACATTTCATAGTAGTACTTACAAAAAAAGATTTCTTCAACAGTATATTAAGAATACTTAAACATTATTATATATCTGCCGTAGGATCATTTATTCATGACAACTATGAATCTTGTGAAGATGTTTGTAAATGGATGAAATCCTTGGGAAAGGAATATAAAAAGTATATGGAAATCTTTCGGAGGAATCACGTTGATGGATATTGGCTATTAAATCATATCGACGATAAAACACTTAATGAGTATGGAATAGATTCGTTAACACACCGACAAACCATCATGACTAATATTGAACAGTTAAAGAAGAAGTGCCGGGCAAATAACTCAATCGATTCACAAACATAAACTGCGCAATATTCTTTTCTTTTATACAATTGTAAACATCAAATATGCGATACTGTGACATGCTAATAAGTATTAAAAGTTCGATGAATTCAAAAATAAGATCTTTGATTTATTGAAATACTCTTTAGTAAAATGTTTGAATCGAAAAAGAAATTCTTGAAAAGACTAATTTAAAGATGTCATTCGATCTTTAATTTTTGTAAAGATCTGATTGTTTATCTTATCTTTCTGGTTTGTTCTAACTAGTGTTTACTTATTACATGTCATATGACATGTATCGATAGTGTTTGATTATCATCGTATACAATTCATAACATCAAAAATGAAACTATTCATAACACTAACAGTAGATGGAGCTCCATTTAAATGCAAGTCTTAGACTAAAACGAGTTAGAATCAATGTATTTTGGTAAATACTTGCTGTATATGTGATTGATTGTTTTTTGATTCAGAATCGACTAATTTCTTTTTCATATTGTTTGAATATCTCGGAAATATAATATTGCTTTTAAATGTTTTAAATTACAAAAATAGTTTGTTTGAAATAAAATATCCTTGATGATAACTTTTTCTGTATTCAAATGATGAAATTTATACTAAATAAAATACTAATAATAGAAGAAAATTTAATTCACATAAGTATTGTAAACATTATGTGACAATATCAACGTTTTTCTTGAGATTGAACTGAGAAAAATAAGAGAGATTTTTATGAATCACCAAAATGAAAGATGAACTGGAAGATAATCTATGAATTTCTTATTGATGTTTCTTAAACTGAATTATCCAGGAGCTTCATTCTTGATGAGACACATTTTCTAAATTACTATGGCAATAAATAGTAGCATGTTTCATGCTTCAAAATAGACGTAACATAAAAGAATAAGTTGTCTGACTTCAATTATTAAATATTGTAGTGCCGATGTTCTCACTCGTCTCAATCTGTACGTTCAATGTATTAACCATAAACTGTTAATATTTATCCATTAAATACTAGATCTTTAAACTGTGGTCGTAAGCATTTATTTATTAATTAAAATGTGCTAGCTGTAATAAGAGACAAAATTGTTATTTTTGTGCTCGTGTTTATTATATGTTTTGAAAACGAATGTAAAGTGTGTAAACATGTATCACAACTACGCAAGTATATTTTTTAGGAAGCCACGTTGTCACAAGTAAGAAAGAATCTCAAGATTAAATTGAATAGAAAAAAAAACAGAACTAATGTTGGAATTCTTATATATTTTGGAGGAATGATAAAACTAATCAATGGCTTTCTTAATATCATTCCATTCACTTTCTAAAGTAAACCAACAATATTCTTCAAGAAAAAAACACAAATAAAAAATATTAATCGTCGAGATTAAATTATCGATTATGATCAGATGTTGTTGATGATAATAGAGCAGTATGGTTGAGTTAATCATGTACATTTATTGATGTTTCGGAAGATTTTAAGACATCTGAAGCAACTATTTTATCTTTGTCAAAAATTGATGCAACTTAAAAAGTAATAAATCATATATTTTAAAACTCTATAATAGTTACCTGTAACAGAATCTGGTGCACTATTTTCAATTCCAGTGACTATAGGAATATTTGTCGATGATTTTGTTAGATCTTTAACTTTTGCTTTTAGATCTAATCTTTCTTGTTGTAGATTTCGACATAGTCTATCGAGTTTATCAACTTTAATGTCTAATTGTCGTTTTTCTTTTTCCAATAATTTCATCTTAAATAAATTTAAAAAATTCGTAAAAAAAGGGAAATTTTTCAGCTTCAATATTTTATACATCTTCATTTGATTTTCGTTGATTCTGCTCAGTTGTGTCCCATCGTTGACGAAAATCATTTTTTTCTTGTTCTAAACTTTTTACTTTGTTTCCCATTCTTTCGATTTCCTTATGACATGATGTTACCATTTGATTACTTTGTTGAATGGCATTTTCAAATTCTTGATGACGTTCAACATAAATTGTTAATTGAGATCGAAGGCTTAATTCAGATATAGTTAATTCTTCACATTTTTTATATAGAACTGCTCGATCAGCTTCGCTCTATGATTTACCAACAAGAAAAAAATAAGAATTTTTTTCATTAGAAAAATTCTGCAAAAAAATCTTACCACTTGTCTTTCTTGTTTAATTAATTCTGTTTGTTCATTAAGTAATAAATGACTTTTTTCTAAACTACCTTCAGCTAAACGTAATTCAATTTTTTTCTTCTTCAATACTGCTTCATATTCCTAAAAAAAGATTTTTATATAAAGGATTTGAAAAAAACTTCCAACTGGAACTTTACTGTTTCTCGTAATTCATAATCTTTAACAACCGATGCTAATTGTTCAGACAATTGAAGATTTCGTTCACGTAGCGATGCAGATTGTGTGCTATAATTTGATAATTGTGATGTTATTTCATCAATTGTCGTCTTAAGAAAAACGTAAAGATGATGACTAGAATAAAATCAAAACATAAATACTTGAAACTTCTTAGCTAATTCTTGACGTTTTGTTTCATCATCTTGCTGTTTTCGAGTACTTTCATCCTAAAAACAAATTTCGAGTCAAACAACTATTAGTTGTAAATTGATTACTCGAATTTGTTGATTATGTTTATGAAGTTCTCGACACAGACTCTCTAATTTAGTTTTAGCAGCGGATGTACGACTATTTTCAAGCAGTATTTGATCTCGTTCACGACTTAAACCTATTGATCGTTTGTCCGATTCATTTATTTTTGCTAGAGTTAAACGATTTTGTTCTTGCAGTTCAGCTAATTTTGTTGCTAATAGTAGGACATTTTTTTGTGGGTCTGCATCACTTAAAGTTTTCATTAAATTTTCTAAAGAAAAAAATGATTTAAAAAATGAATTATTGTTTCAGTTAGACATACGTGCTACTTCATGTCTACTTGGATGTTTTCCAGAATCGTTATTCTTATTGGACGAAGAACTATCATCGTCGTTTGTCACTGATGAAATTTTATCATTTACCTTTTTATTTTCTTTAGAATCAGCTGCTAGAAAAGTAAAATGTTCATTGTATGGAATGTCTTCGTAGATAAAATACCTAATTTTTCTAATTTTTCAATAAGTTTAGCACCAATGGCTGTTTGTCCAGGTGTTCGAGCAGCGGTTGTTGATAAAGATTTATCAAGACTTTTATCTTCATTAGTAGTTAGAAGATTATTTGAATCGATTATTTGTGAAAGTTGTTCAACAGCTGACATTTGATTGGAATTCAATGAAGCATTTTCATTGATTTCAGATTCAATATTCGAAGTCATTTTCAAATTTTCAAAATCCTAAAACAATATCAATATAGATAATTTCAAGATTGAATATAAACTCAAAATAGAACTCAAAACTAAAAGAGAATAACAAAAGTCATGGTTACATTTATCTTTTTTTCCAATTCTCAATGATATTCATACGTTGTCGAATATCCAGTCAATCATCGATTAAATAAAACTAATTAAAAAAAAACTTCTTTATTTCTAAAAAAATTAAACAGAGGATGCCCTAAAGTTGAAAAGACAATAATTTTCAATTAACATTATGAAGCTTTCCCATTTTTCTGATGGAATTTGTTACAACTTGAGAGGATACCAAATATGTGATTGAGCGACCTCTATTGTGAACATTTTCGTTTCGGAGTAATGCATACACTGGCAAATATTTTCGTAAGAATATTAATTGTAATTTCAACGAGTTCAAAATTTTCTCATTTTGTTTCTCATTTTGAATATTTATTTTTAAGACAATTTTTAAATAAGGAAATCATCCGGAAAAATTGTTCAGAGAGTAATCGAAGCAAAAATGTATATCGATTAAAATTTAAAGTGTATCTGAAAGATGAAATAATCATTACCAAACTATTCATTTGAGGGTTCCCAAGGACTATGGAATAAGAATCCCTCCGTAATCTTCCCATAGTTCTACGAATGTTGAAATCAAGCAAATGCAATATTCTGACATTCATGAATAGGAGAACTATGAGAAAACTGATGGTCAGTTTTCGTTTTCCTGAAGAATTATTATGGTATCGCTGACAATTCCTCTTCAGTTTAGTAATTTCCATTTCTAAGATCTCGAACACTGCTAGGAGAGTTATCACTTAAGTACAAAACGAAATTTATTCGATTGACAATATGAATAATTAATATATATATATATATATATATATATATTTTTTTTTTTTTTTTTTTGAGATTAAATATTGACAAATAAAATACGGCGATTCATGTTACAGTAAAAAGAGCAAACTATCATTTACTACTAGAATAAATAGAGATAAGAGTGATTGCGATTTATGAAAAAGACAAAAAATGATCTGTAATAGTTTTATTCATTCATTTGTTTATTGGTGAGGTTGCTGGCTTTCTTGGTGCACGTTGTTGTTCAAAACGATTTTCCATTTCAATTAGAACTTGCGGCGAATATCGTACAACTAATTTTACGGTACCTTGAGCTTGTTTAAGTAAATCAACAGCTTTTTCATGATATTCATTTTCAACAGATACGCCATTTACAGATAATAATTGATCGCCTTTTTTTAATCCACCATGCTTCCAAGCAACACCATTTGGGATAATACGTGATATATAAATAGGAGAATTTTGTTCTCGACCACCCATTACATTAAATCCAAGTCCTTCAGCTGTTTTGGGTAATTCAATAACACGTGGATGAGAATGACCTTCACTAGCGGCAAAAGCAGCAACCTAAAAGTGAATCGGAGTTTATAATGATGTATTTGAAAGAGACTTTCGTTTAACTTACAGTTGCTTTAGCTGTAGCATTTGCTCGTACTTCTGGTGAACCAGTTATTTGTACTGTTTCATAAATTTTCTCGTAAATTTCAAGTACAGCATGAAAAAAATCACTTTGCAATATCCGTTGTAATTCAGATAACTTTTCTGCGGGAATCTCACTTGTTGTACGAAGACGATCAATCAAAGCAATTGCTCGTTCGACATCTTTTTCTAAATTAAGTGATGATTCACCTGTTATGCTTGTCATTATCTGAAACATTGAAATTTAATAATTACAATAAACTAAAATAAAACCCATAGAAATTTCTAGATTTATGAATTTTAACCCAAGAAAATATGAAGTACTACAGTTAGGATATTTAAATGTTACGAAAGAACTAGAATTTAATTAAATGAAATAGATGCGCTGCTGTGACTTCATACATTATAGTACTGACAAATTCAATCAATATCAATAATTCCTTTTTTCCACTTTTCCAGTATATTGATAATCAATTTCGTATCAATCAAGATTAAGATAACTTCAATTAGCATTTATACTAACCATAATGTTATCAAATACAGAATCTCAAACAAGAAGATTACGACTAGCTGCTGTATTAATGGGAAGAAAATCAACTTGCATCTTTACATCTAGACATTATTTCAACAATTCAAGCTATGTAAAAGATACACTGTAGTTGTTGCCGTATGCTAGGATAGAAATGGTTCGAAGATTCCAAACTTCTAAAATAAACTAGTCAACAGGATTCTTAAAATAAAAATAATCCTACAAATCGAAAATTTTAGTATTCATGTTTCCTCCAACAGCATGGTTGAAATTTTTAGCAATCATTATACTGTTATAGACCTCAGTAGCAGAATTAACATGGTGCTACGGTTCTACATGATTGATTTGTCTATCCTATCCATGATAAAATTATTCTCGTATTTAATAGTTTAGACGGAAACTTTTTCCAGATTCACCATATCGAATTTAACAAAAATAGCCATAATGTTGTTTAAATAGGCAGTATTATATTTCTTGTTCATCATTTTAAATGATATTAAATCTATTCCAAATTAATTTCATCGACTTGGAAACAAAAAAGTCTTACTTTAATCTAAAAAACATATTGAAATAAGTTAATCTGTTAAAATATATTTGTTAAATTAATTTGATCGATAAAAATATTATTGCTTGGTTAATGGAATGTAAATAGAAGTTAATATGAAATATAAATAAATAAAAAAATTGCATGAGGAAAAACAAAAAAAATGAATTTGTTGCTATTTACTGTTATTTACTTGTGGATGTAAAGCTTCTTTTACTAATTGTTCATATTGACTCAAATCGAAATGTTCTCGTTCATTAACTGAAAGACTTCGATATTGTAATTGCAATAGATTCAAATAATCTTGTTCAGAATATTCTAACCCATGTTCTGCGATAGTATTAAGAATTTCTTCTGGTTTTATTGCATATAACGATTCATAATATCGATGAGCACGCATCAATTCAGCATCACCAACTGTTTGAATTTGTGTTAACGTTTGTTCAATAGAAAATATATTTCGGCACATTTTCGTTACACCTAATGTATTTATACGATTGAATCGTGGTGATGAACGAATTAAAATTGTTGCCAAAACAAAACCGAGGCCTTGAAATAAAAATGAAAACTTCTTTTCATTTAACGAAGAACTTAATGTTTCTTGTAAATGTGTTAAATCACGGTTTAATGACATGATATTTTCATCATGATCCGTATCAATGGCATATGCATAATGTGAAGTATTACGAAAAAATAATGATAAATGATAAAAACAATGTAGACGAATTTCCAGAAATAAAACAAGTAATATATCATAAGATAATGTTAATGTTGTTTTCATTGCATTTGAGAAGATTTCTAAATTTATACGCGATAATTTTAATTGATCATAATGAGATGAATTTTGTTTAATTGAACGTGTTGTGAAGCCGAATGGAGCTAAAAGAAAAACAAACGATCGATAAGTTATCTCTTCAAATTATTATTTGGAATAGCTAAACAACACCAGTACTAATATATGACCTAGAAGGAATCGCTGCGTGCTGTGTTCGATAATATATCATCGATCAAGACATTTTATTTCACTAACGAGTAAACCTGTACAGAGCGAAAAATCTGATGAATACATAGATATTTTTCTTATTGGAATATGTTGGACGGTATGAAAATACAATATAAATCCCGTGAATACATTAGCACAAATATGAGATCAAATAGAAACAAAGTTTTTTTTGTTGTTTTCCTTTATATTGCTTTTGTGTGACATCTAATTAATCTCAAAAATTTTATTTTTATTACTTCTTTTAAGATCTTGTACAATTATGCAAAGATTTTTCAGATATTTAATTTAATAATAATTGTTAGATACTAGCATGGATTTCATTCAATGAAATCGAAGAAATGAAATGCTGGGATTTTATAGACGCGTTTTAGTTTTCAAGGACACATATACAGATGATTAAGTGATTTCAACATCATCTTTCGACTATGACTAGTCCTCGATGTATTAGAAAAAAGAAAAGCTTAAAAAATATTAATTTTCTTTATGTGATATGTTTCATAGATATCGAATTATTCTAATAGAGATCTACTATTTCAAGAAATGGTCATATTTTTGAAAGAAACATCTTATTTTAGAAAAATGCTGAAAACATCAAATATTTGTACCTGCTGTTTGTGTTAATGCATCAAGATACTTTGTATCATTTAAACATTTATCTAATACATCAAAATAATATATTAATTTACAATATAACCAATCGACACTTTCATGAATAGTTGCTAATACTTCAATATGTTTATAATTCGTACAAATATCATCGACACTCATTTCATTTTGACTAAAATTAATTAATAAAGTCTCAGTTTCTTTTGCTTGTCGAAAACGTATATTTTCAACATTTTCATTGTCATTGTCATTGTTTGTTGAGTGCTGTTCTGTAGCCATACGTATAAATGCATCAAATGCAGGCATTGTCCTTAAATGACGATTTATATCGGGATCTTTAACCCATTCATTTGAATAAATTGATATTCCATTTGAATCATTTTTTTCAACAATTGATAAAAATAATTTATAGCAAGATTCCCGATGTTTAAATAAAAGATCAACTATTGCTTGGCAAAAATCATCTGCATACGGTGGAAGACATTTAACTAGCGCACATAATTCTTCACAAGATTTAAATATTAAATAAGTTGATTGAAGAATAGGTACAGACAGTTTAAGTTGTTTTTGTAATACTGATGGAATTAATTCCACTGAACGATTTCGATCAGTGATTGTTGCTGTTGATGATGATACTATTTGAGCAGATTCTCGAATATCTTTTATAACACGACCAATAAAACGGTCACGAATGAACTCGGTTAATTTTCTAGAAACAAATTGCAAATGATAATTCTACAAAATTAAACGAATGAACCAATTTCTTGTCATTTCAATTTTTCCGGTACTGTCTCTCATTTTATTTTACATATATCTATCAATGAATATTTTATTGGATATTAACAAAGACAGACAGATAACTGTTTATTAGCTAATAAGCAGTTACTATTAATTGCAAGAAGTAAAAAGAATTGAAACTCATGATAAAATTAATCTCAAATTTATGTAGCAGTATACTATAGAAAGGGCAGATTTAATTACACAGGCCTCGTTCGATTTCGAATTACTATGTTTATAAACTTCAAATAGATCTGACCTTGCAGTAGAAAAGTGATGAAACTAAGTTGAAGAAAACAATGTAATTTTACAAGGAAATTATCTTATGAAGACGATGTATCTGCAAGAATTTTAGATTTTCACTCCCAACTTTTAACATATTTTATAAAGTACCTCAATCATTTTCTTGTAAATTTCACATAAACTAAGAGTACTTTTAAAAGAATTCAAATTTTTTTCAAACCCTCTATTGTCATTTACAATATTATTCTATTAAAGAAATTTATCTGATAATCTTTACATTAATGGCAAGTCTTCTACGACAGAGAAAAAGCCGTGCGTTCTTTAGTGTTGAATCTGTATCAAAAATTTGTTTTTTTTTGGTTGGTTCCGATACAATCTCAGAATAAAATATGATTTTCTGTTCTCGCTGTATAAAAGTCGTACAGTCACATAAATCTTGATGTTTGAACTGCTAAAAACTCTTTAACTGGTAGAAATCTTTTATTTCTTGTTGAATAAGAAAATATCACTTGAAATTCTTCGCATCACAAATTAGTTTCATTGTTTGTGACGAATTCGTTAATTGTAAAAACATTCTCTCGAATATCTAATGAAACAAAGTGACAATAACTTGATTAAAACTATTAATCTAGAAATTTGTTTGGGTCTTTTCTCTATATATAAATTTCAAATTGAATATATGAAAATAAACTGAATTTATGCCATTCTCATCTTTTTATTATAAATTCTATCGAAATATATTGAAAGCTTCAGAAGATTTAAATTACAGACAATACTTCTACACAGTTCAATATTCACTATGAATTTGAAGTTTCATTGCGATTCGTCTTTTTTTTTAATGATCACTAAAATATAAATTTGATCAAATTTATCGAATAAAGAATTGACTTAAAAACTGAAGAACTCGATTTTTTCAAAGCAGGAACAAAATATTCAAAACAAATCATTTAGCATAAGCTTAATCGTATTCATAAACGAAAGATAAGCACAAAACTATAGTTTCTATATTGGATCACGAAAGAGAAATTTCAGTCGTATTTGTTTTTTTGACTGAGAATGATATCTCGTACCTGTCAAGAATACGTTTCGTTGGATGTAATTTATAATTTATATCAATATCTTCAATTATTCTTTGAATAACATCATGTACAGCTGTAATATTTCGATAATTTGGTTTACATACATATTGTTTATATGCAATAGTAGATTGTTGTGTTTTTGATGCCTCTTGTTTAATAATAAAACGATTTTGTTCGTGTAAATATGATTTCATTGAATGAAATTGTGCTGAATGAGAAAATTCAAAAAGACGTGGGATTTGCTGTGAACGCGGTGGTATAGGTTTTTTCATCAAATATTGTGAAAAGTCAATCAATGATGAATGATTCGTATAATCAGTTGAATTTAATGTCGATGAAGAATTAAATGACAATGTATCAAGTGTATTATTATAGTCAACATATTCAAATAAAACATCACTCAATACTTGTTGGAGAGTTTCCCAAACGAAATCTATTGAGAATATATAAGGAATTTCAAATTGTATTTCACTTGGAACCGTTGTGTATTCTTCTGATTTGCAATCTAAATAAATAAATAAATAAATAAATAAATAAATAGATTTATTCCGTACTCATATTAAAATATGTTTTGTACTATGTAGCTGCTTACATATTCTAGGTATTGCGACTATAGAGTCAAAAGTCAAATGTCGTGTTCATTGTAAAATTAGATTAAAAATAGATTCTGACTGTATTCTCCTCTATTTAATATATACGCAAACATAGCTCTAGTAAGGTATGATAACTGTTAAAAGATTTATCGTCATAGAAAAACGGCAAATGTTTTTTAGACTTTGTGTAACACAGATATCTAGAATGTGAAAAATATTAGTCATTGTAAATAAAACTCATTAGTCAGAAATAAATGTTCAATTCGATTGAATGTAATATTTGGCAGAAATAAAAACAAAGAATTGTGTCATTTTACTATGAATATGTCTTAAACGATAACATACGTAAATATTGGTTTCATAAAAAAGATTTGTTTTATACTTCAATTTTTGGTTGTTTAGCTTTCATTTATTTCTACTCTTCATAAGATTAATTTCTTTGAGATTCAATTCCAACAAAGTTAAAATGAGAAATCTCGATTGATTATTGAAAACAATCTTCAGAAGTCAACTTAAATTTTGACTCCTGCATATCACAACTATCAAAGAATAATCTTATTTTTAAAACTCCAACTGATCACACTTTCACTAGTACTATGATAAAATTAAAATAATATATAAAGCTTATTATTCTAACTTCTAAATTTAATTGAAAGCTTTATCATTTTTCATTGACCTGAAAACTTTTTACAGTTAATTAAAATTGATTTAGAAACAAACCATTTTGTTTTTGTCTCGTAAGATATTCTTGTTGTTGAATTTGCGTAGGCGCTTGATGATCTTGCAATAGTTTTAATATACTTATTAAATATTCCGTATTTTTTACAACAAGTTTAAATTGTTCATAAACAGTTTCTAATAAATCTCTTAAACAATCAGTACTATTAAAAATTAACCTTTGGTTTAAATTATTTGATAAAATCGTATTATTATCAATAATATGTTGTGTTGTACGTAAAACGATAAGATATAATTGTTCATGAAATTGTTTTTGTATAAAATCAATTGTTTCATTTAAATCTGATAAAATTGATAAGGATTGCAAAAGAACATCTAAATATATATTTGATGTTTGATTGCGTATATCAACTAACATATATTTATCTGGTATAATTGCTAATGATTGAGATTCAAACGATAATTTTCCTTGTTCAAATTCTTGATCCAGTTGTTTTCTTAGTAACCGATTTTCTCTTGAGGGTGTTACTGAATTTTGATCACTTTTATTTAATGTTGATGATAGATTTTTATTTCCAAGTATATCTCGAGATGGTTTAGCAAATAATTGATAAATTAATTCAAAACGTAATTGGTCTGCTAATGTTACACGTTCTTCTTTGATTTGTAAATCAATATGAGATAATGCATTAATTAAACGTAATTCTTGATATTCTTTTGCTTTTAATAGAAGTAATGACGCATGAATATATAAACGTTTGCTTAAATAAAATTCTAAACGTGATGGAACAAGTTTTAATTCATATATATTTAAATAAATTCGATCTAAAGCATTTTGTTCTGATGTCGACAACCATAATTTACGAATATCTTGTCGTTTTAATAGTAATAAATTTTTACATTCCTGTAAACATTCACGAATATTTTCTACGCGAATTTTTGATTGTTGTATAGAAGTATATAAGTCAGAAAAATTTGCTATTAATTCTGTTAAATCTGTTGTTGAAGATTTTATGCAACGTTCAATATTTGTATTTGAACGTTGAAAACGATCTTGAAAAAAACGAAGCTGTTGTTCACGAACCTATATTTTTAGAAAGGTTATATGACAGTGTAAGAAACGACAAAAAAATGACACCTCAGTATTTGTATTTAAATTTAAGTCTCGCAGTATTTTCATCAATATAAACGTTGTTGATTGACGATCCATCTTTATTTTATTTTATCGGTATAATGAAAACAACAATACTTAACAAGTTAGTAAATGCACCTACAAATTCAATGAATCTCATCCCATCCCATCAATAAACAATCGATCGATCGATCAATCAGTTCTGTTTCCATTGGTTGATTTTGGTCCAATGATCTATTCCGTATGATTCTCCGTTTCCTATGAAACTATAAAAAAGTATGCAGCGAACTCTTGTCATTGCCATGCTACTGATGTATTAAAAACAAGATTTAGGATGCAAAACAATTTTTCTGAGAAAAACACTTTTAAGAGCTGGAAAAATGTAAACAACAGATAATAGGTATGTGATGCACATCGTCTTGTACCTTTTTGCTGAGAGAAACTATTACATAAATGTATTGTTGTCTGATAAATCATCGAATACATTCATTCATTTACTACAATACGGTTCGCTCTTTTTTTATCTATTGATGAAATATTGATTGAGGTTTTTATGCATTTTTCCAATGATTGAAGCCGAATAAATGGTATGCTGCAATTTTTCGCAATGAAGAGCGAGGAGTATGATATGATGATATCGTTGATGATGGAGAGCTTAATTCATTTTCAAATGTAAGTAAAAAAAAGTCAGTGAAGATCGATATGCTTCAGTAAATGAAGATTTGGTCACATCATTCACAATATAGTATGCGGATATGACAACCAAAGACATGATAAAAGAAATGTCTATGTTCATCAAGAAAAGAGCAATAGTAAATTGCAAATTGAACATAACATAATAGTAGATTATCGTCGCACTTCATAACAAACATTTCCTATTGAATCATAACTATTTGATGAATGATTCAAGATTACTGTAAAATAGACCACTCCTTTTTTTATATTGTTGAATTTAAAGAAAAAAATTTCTTAAACTTTCTTCAGAAATAAGTAATCGAATGTGGTATATCTTATACAAGTTGCCTGACAATGTGTCAACTTGATGTGAGAGGTTTCAGTTGGTGTGGATCCACAAAGTAATAACTATAAAGTATCGCCTATCGTCAAATGAACGAATATTATTTTCGTCGAGTTAGAACATTTTCATCACTGAAAATACATCGTTTAAAAGAATGAATAGGAAATCTAAATATGTGTTTGTGAATGTTATAAGATGTGCGAAAAATGATGAACAAATATTTTATTGCACATTATCTCGAAACTCTATGAATCGTAAAAAAAACGCGAGTAGATCAGGAAAATATGACATAAAATTTGATTCTCTCATGATTTTTCAATGATGATCATTTAAATAATACTAAAAGCATCAGAATGGTTCTTATTCTGGGCATATTTCACGGCTTACAATGAAAAAACGATTAAAAATGCATTGATTTTTCAAGTCTTAATTAAATATTTTCCTGATGTTGAAAAATCCGTAGATTCGAAAGAGTGCTCACATTTTCTTTTCGATTTATGTAGTATTTCTTTTCATTAAGATTTAATTAAGGACACCCTGTTTCATTTATTGGTAAATATCGACTATCGTCATATCAATGCCATAGTCTGTTGGTCTTTATGTAATTTCACTTGACATTCCAGCAAGCTTAATGCTCCATATGAATCCTGAAATATCATTAATGATACCAGTGATTACTGTATATTTGTGAAATATTGAAACAGCTCAATAGATTTAACATAGAGAATGTATCCAACCTCTGATGGATCTATTGTATCTTACTGTTGGAGCGATATTTCTTTCTTTTTGTTTTTTGTAAGTTCCGAGAATGTTCTATTTGATTTTAGTTAGTTACGCTTGCAACTCATCTAACAGTACTGAACTATTTAGTGTTGAAACTCAAATTAGAAACAAATAACCATTCGATCTTTTGGAATATCTTGCTCTAAGGCTACATAACGCATTTTTAGTATTGATGTGAAAGGCACATAGCAAATAATGAATCGCATATTTTTTTAGAAGCAATCATATTTTTGTTGTAAAAAAACAACGAATCTAGAAAGAATCTGAAAATTCCATAATTTTTCAGCATTCTCCAGACCTTTGATCATTGAAAATCAATACCAATATGAAATCTCACTCCAAATAGTCGTTAAGATTAAGTACACAGAAAGAGAGCAATCTATTCAATTCGGATTATATCGAATTTTTGTTAAATTTAAATAGAATCTTTCGATACCTGGACCATCTATAATTAATAAACGATGACGACGATAGAGACTCTATAACAATTAATCCTTGCAAAAATAAATCGATTCTTCGCTAATCTTATTTTTTATCTAGGTGGCTTATCATGGTATAGATAGCTATATTTCCGAGTATGCGAAGTAAATTTTGGCACATCAAATAACTCTTTAAGTTTAAATTTAAGGTATTGGCTACATTTATTTCGGATAAAATTTTACTTATCAAGTACTTTACATAATAACTAAAAATATCGTAATGTACTTCAATTATGTCATACTCAAACATACATCGGCAATACTAGGCGACTGCAAATTTCTTTTACAACTATCAATCAAATTTTTGAGATGCTTTTCGCATAACTTTTTAATTAGATGATAGTATCATTTTCTGTGATATCTAGTATGTAAAATTCTCCAAAGAATGATCAGCCAATATTTAATATCTAACTTAAAATTTCTGTTTTTTTACGCAAGTCATCATATTTTATGAGCACTACTTCTTTTTTGAATCAAATCGGTCCTATTTAAAGTGACTATATGTATGTTATGTATTCAAACAGCGAACAATCTATGATGAATCAATAATTTTAAGTGTTTCTTGATATTTTAATTTTATTTTTTGAATTTGAGACTGGCTTCAGTCGAAGCTGTATTTAGAGGATAAATTCTATTGCTAAATAAATTGCGACATTGTCTCAATAATTGACAGTATATTTTCACAAAGACATATCTAACAGAATATAAAAAGAAAGCTAAAGAAAAAGAAGTTACGGTGTAATATGACACCATTACAAAGTAGTGTTTTTTTTATCTAACAACCAATAAAAAAAGATCTGATATACTAGGTGTATTATTTTGTTCTATACATCTGTTTTTCTCAATTGATATCTTCTTCTAATCACTATTAAATACATAAAATAATCTTATTATTGCAGGAGTCTCAAAAGTACTGACGCGAGAGAAGAAATGACATTTCTTTGTTATCTTCTTATCTATTGTATTCTATTTTTTGTCGAACAGAATGTTCTTTTGGTTCTTAAATGAATGATCAAATTAAAGATAGTTATCAGTAATGAAACAATATTCAGAACAAAATATTTCCATTTTTCGACTGAAATAAAAGTTTGTTTGAATTACAATTTCATCTAGCAACAATATAGCTTTTACTTTAGGAGAAGACAAGCCATTAAATCTTGTTAGATAAATACCTAAATATGACAATCTCAATTTATTGAGGGAAATCTTTTAACAGTAATTCCTAATACATAAAAGACTCTTATAAAAATCAATTTTGAATTGCTAACATAAAGTTTATTATTGAAAACATGAAAATAGAAAAAGTAGCATTTCATCAATTAGGGTCTAACAACTAGTAACTCTTTTGGTAACAGTTCATTTGAATATGAAACAGACAATCAAACGATGGCATTCACAATCAACTTAGAAACACTTTTGTGTCGGTTGTTTACTTTTTAAAACAATTAGAAATTAAATTTTTATGTTGATCTATATTAAATTTACGATACACATTATCTAAATTAAAGTAGCTTTAAATCAAATTAAAAAACCTTCATCAGAATTTTTTATAGATAGCGTAGGCATGATATTACTTATATTGATTGCTAAAAAAGAATCTAATTAGAATACCTTTTTCGAGACAATTAGAGTATAATTAAAAACTTGAGAATAAGCTTCTTCGAAAGCAGGGCTGTTGCATGATACCCATGAAAAAATCAGTTGGCTTTAANATCTAAGAAAAAAAAGTCGAACTCTTTCAATTATGATGCAACTCAAGGGGGGGGGGAGGGATTGACGGGTTCTCGGGTTTTGGAATCCCATGGAAATCCTGGAATCAAATAGAAATCGAGGGAATCCAATGAATATCCAAAGAATATTTAAATTAGATGTCTAAACAACACTGAAATAATAATTCATGCTCATTCATAACAAATATCACTTCGTTCATTTAATAATTAGTTTATCACCCGACTCGTTTAATAAAATAGACAAGTAACGCGGCGTAAACGTCGCTGACCCTCTACTGAAAGAATGTGACATTGTGGAGCATACTGTTTCAAACCAACTAACAAGGAACCTACCCAGGTCGAACATACACGGTCGTATACGACGGTAAATCGCCGTATTTGGCCGTATTACATGGCTCCGTATTACGATCGTAAATCTNAGTAAGCTTCCATTTCTTTTCAAAGTTTGTTTCAAACCAACTAACAAGGAACCTAGTATTACTATGCATAGGTAGAAGGATGTAACTTGGTGGAATAGTGTGTAAACGTATATGTATATGTATATAATCAAATTCCTAAAAACTCGAAGAAGTACCGTCTACTCATAAAGAAAATCTTCATATCTTGTCCTGGGAGGTATCTCTCACCACCTCGGTTGCTGATATAATAAGGTTGAGAATTCTTCAAAATATTATTTTGTTTCGAGAAACTTTGTACATCATCAATTGAACTTCAATCTGAATTCGAATGGAAACGAAGAAAAAATAACTAATATATGTTAGATATATATTGGTACAGCTCATTTATTTTCCAAAATATAAATCAATCTCCTATGAAAATGTATTCATTAGTTTCATTAAGCAACATTATTGTTATCGTAGCCATTACATTCTTTACTATTAATCATATGATGATAGAAAGGAAACAGTTTTTTCATAACATGTGTCTAAGTAAAATTTTTATAATGTATTTGTGTTTCACGTAGCTTTTAGTAGGTAAGAGACGCAATTCAACAAAAGGTAATCTTGTTATTTGATATAGCATGTTGTTGAAAATAATATCATTGCCTCTTTTATTTGATTTCAATAAAAAATGACTTTCAACGAATAAATTAATGTAATTAGTATTCATCAGAAAATAATGAACAGAAACAGCTTTATTGTATCTTTTTCAATAAAAAAACTAAAAGTTATTCCAAATATACCTGTGTACGATTCGTGCCAGTTACTAGAAGCACTGTCAAAAGATTGATTAGAATTATCGATATATCTAACCCACATAATAATTATAATCTAATGTGCTTACATAATAGGTATGATGTGATAGTAGCTAAATGTTTGATTAGAGATTTACATTTTATATTCTTATAATATCTGACTTTCAGTAAATTGCTAATTTGATCACAGTTTAGATTAGAAAATGAATATATTATGAAAAGTTAATCAATCGAAACGCTTACAAAAATATTGTATTTCAAATAGTTGAAACACTATATGCACCTGCTATCAAATGACAAATAAACCATTTAGAACCTTAGCTTTTTTTAAGTCACTTGCCCTTATATTTATTGTTATGGTACACTTAAATCTTGGTGTATTCTTTTGGTTTATTATATATATATATATATATTGTCGTATCATGTAATTACTACATTTGGATTGCTATTTGGTTGCAGTTCAATTTTCACGTCAAATGAATTTTCTTAAAAATGCTCGAACCCCTTACGCAGATATTTTCAAATATTATATAAAAGATTTTATTTTTAGAATCCTTTTTTGTTTTTAAAGAAATTAACTAGCACAAGTATACAGTAGAACAATTGAACAATGAATAGCATTATATCTGTTTTCATTTTCAATGTGTTCTTTTGATTCACTTGCTATGTATTTCTGGGAAAAGACTTTTCTTTGATTCACTTTCGTCAAAGACATGAATTCATATGAAAGCCATGATGATATCATGATTCTTGTGAATTTAACTGAAGTACACACTACTGTATAAATATTATGCATTACAAATTATACATTGCAAATAAAAACAAGCGTAGCAATGGTTTAAATTATCGGATGTTGGTTTGTTCGATTTTAAACTCATGAGCTGATTAAAAAGATATCAGTTCTAGACACATAAATGTTAAATAAAAACACACCAGTTTGTAAAGAAATTACATGCATTCGATACTATATAATATAACTAAATATGTCATATTAGTGATAATCATGCTTATTTATTTATTTTAGAGCAGCTAGTGCTAAAGACATAATAATTATCAATATCAAAAGTATTCAATAGTTTCGAAAATCATGAGAAAAACAATCAACTCGACCAATAGCGTAAAACCCATTCAAAATGTGATCTTGCTTCAGTCCATATGCTTCTCGCTCCTTGGAGTTAACTGATTCGTAGTAAAGGCGAAACAGTATTGAACCTAAAAATAGCATAAAATATGTTTTAGCTGGTAGTATTGGAATCATTTCTGCCTCACAATCAACCGCTTGTGAATGCAACTTTATTCATCCCATCTC